GAGCGCAAAGGGAATCTCGCGTACGAGCTGTACAATTTGAACGAATATCGCGCATCGACACTTGCGCGATGGTTTAACACGCTCGTTATCGCGATTTCGCGGATATGTACTTCTTTGTCTTAGGCAGGCTGGCCGATATTAATTAACCGTGGACAAGGGTCGATAAATAAATTCAACGCGGAACAATCGCTGTCGGAGGCAATCGCGTGCGATCGATTATCGTTATTGGCCACGTGTGTATGAACAGCGAATAACAATTATTTGGCGCAGTAGGCGGCCCGACGCGCAATTACGAGTAAGCTCATTAACGATGAGGCGCTCATTACCCGATTGCCCGATATCTATCATACGCTTTACACTTACCCCGTCGTTATTCGATTAAATTTTGATAACCATCCGACTATGGATTACGTTTTCGAGGCGAGCACTGCCGTGCTTCACAAAATAACAATCTTGTTCGCTCGCTCGTTCGCGGCGTTGCATAATCTGCGGCCGTGTTCGCCAAACCCGAGGAAATTAATTGGCGATCGTTAATAAGTGGAAAATTGCACGAGCGACAATGAAGCTAGCACGGACAGCTTACAATGCGTTCGACTAGTTCAAGATGAGATTTTAATTGTCTCGTTTCATTGTGTTAGGTTACGCCGTGTCGACACCGATCATCGGTGAATCCTTGGATTTTGTATTTGTGTCAGATGTTATTGTTCGATGAGAATTGTTAGTGTAGAGGCGTCGGTAGTGCTAGCACTTACGTTGGACACGGTTTTCAAACAAGTATGTCGACAGTTGCACTTTGAGTGCTTTACACTACCTTGACAATGTATAAAAATCGAAATTTTAGTTTCTGTGGAGTAATAGTTCAGAGTTTTGAAAATAATATGAAAAGGGTTCTATTAAAACATTCGTTGTAATAAGAACAACGAGTATAGATACACTACTGTATCGGTAAAACTCGATAATGTAGAACACTCGGTTCAGAAGATAAATTGCTCTGTGGATAGTGTAGAACTCCCATTGTCAGCCGATAAGGAAGTCGATTTCTTAGTAATTTAGAACATCCGAATGGTAAGTAAGTGACGTCGACAATGTAGAACACTCTGTTGATAAAGCCGATTGACTGATTGGTGTTTTATCATGACGAATCTCACCTACGAACAAAGTACACTACGTTACCGACCAGATACATTCTCCTTTCCGCCATAATACCATGACTTTGTAATAGAAATAGTATTACTGTTTATGTATAATATTAGAAATTACTTTAAGCACTGTAGTTTAAATTGAAAATAATAATTTCTTTAATCTGATGATCTAAAATATAAAGAAGTTTAGCAGCTTGGATATTAATTTTATGATACAGCATTATTTAATTAACGTTTTTCGAGACCAAGGAGAATTTTGTGACACATTTCATTTTTCAATTACGTATTATGTAATCCAGCTGAGAATAATTTATATTTTGTTTAAATTGGATAAGTATTTGAAAAATGTTCTCGACAATTAATGAATCAAAAAGTAGGAGTATGTTTTGTCAGGCTACTATAGCTCCACTATTTTTTTAAAGCAACCACTTTTTTCACTTTTATTCAGATAGACATTTATAATCGAAGTTATTCCAAAATTTTACACGATGATATGAAATCACAAACTTAAATAAAAACGTAGAAAATGTTCGAGGCAAATTTATACCTTGAAAATTTCTAATTGTATAATTAAAAGTAACTTGTCCGTAGTTCAATTTTTAATGGGCAGAGCTGCACGTTAATTATCTTTTATCTTTTCTGATAATGCTTTCTAATTATCATTAACTTGCATCTCTTAATTGTACAAAAACTTAAGACGCATCTGTCAAACTAGATATACCCAACAATGATTAATTATTGTACAATTGCAATTGTCGATTTTAAATAGTATCATATTTTTGTATACAAGATTATATTACTTTTTATTGTAAAATGTATTGATTGAAACTCGTACCTCTGTTCGCTGCAATTATTTAAAAAAGGACTTTTACTCTGTAGCAACTGAACATCTAAATTAACCCAACGTTTTAACTGTCGTTGAGATTTCAAAATCGGTTCTTAATTTTTTAACGCGTTTGCTGGTGTGCATGGTTTTCGTTCTTATACTCTTTGGCATCACGTGCCGACTAACGAGAACCTCGTTAGTTACTAACGAATTGTTTGGATACAATCCAGCACCAAAACGTGTTTCCCATTTGGTTAATATTCGAATTGGTGATGATTTAACTTCGGTGTTTTGACAGTGCTATCACGTTTGAATTGTGTTAAAAGAAATACTCAAAACTAAAAATTACCTCATTCTGGTGCGAAAGTGATAACTTAATTTAGAAAGAAAACTAAAAGTTAGTTCATAGGAAAGTTCGTAGGAAATTTCTCTACAGGGTGTTCGGTAACTGGTGATACATACAATACAGAATTAATTTTAAACAATCTATACATATTTTAGTAATATCAAAATTTGATTTCGGTAATGAAAGGTATAGCAACATCTCTGTCATGTATACGAAGCTTGAAATTATAATGGACATCAAATCCGTTATTCATAAATTGTACGACATACATTTCCTTATTTATACAATTACTTACAACCACTGTCACTTCTATCATCGCTAAATTGAGTAACAAATCAATTCACATATTATCAATATTACGATGTTCTAACAATACCAGAACTAACATTGATGGCATCAATATCATATTATTCTATAGTATTTTCTATACTATAGAACGCTTAATTATATAATTTATAGAATGAAAGACAATAAGTTAATAAATATTCACGCAAATGTTCTCGTTATCAATCGTGTAAGAATACTTTAAAAGGTAATATTGTCAGCAGTAGTCAAGAAATTTCGCATCGGCGTAAACGATCAAATTATTCAAATAATTTCGCGTCCCGACCTCTTCTCGCCTTTGACTCTTAAAACGTTTCTCTGCTGACTTATAGAGCATGACGGACCTTTTCGCCTTAAAGACGGCTATATAGAAGCTAACAAGATCATGTGCTATGGCTTCTGAACCTTTAGACGATTTAAGGTCTTTGCACCTACTCCCTTCAAAGTCACAAATTCTATAATCACCAACGTTTCGTAATTAACATTTTACCAAACGACAGCGATTGGGCATACAATTAATAATATACGTTGTTTTGACAACAGTATCGTCCAATCTTTATTTCGTTTATCTATAAATCGCTTTTGATTAATATTTATGTAATATTTCATTATTCATGCAACGATGAAGGCAATAAATGTTATCTTAATAATAAATAACAGAGCATTATTTATCCTAGCAAAATGCCTGTTAATAGGCTACCAGTCGGTGACGTGTTAACAAACACCTGGCATTCTACGTAAACATTTCGTCTGCTTGTTTCAACAAACATTCGGTCAAGACAATTATTCCGTCTTAAAGATAATATTATCGATTATAATACGTTTCTTATTTGTCACCATTTTTTATAACGCGTATGCGTAGGTATACTCCTAAACGAAACTATTTACGCGCTTGTTATTACGTAATTGTTTTCAAGGAATTGATAACATACGTAAGGCATACGATATATTATATAAAAACAAACAATACGTAAGTTAAAAATGTTTACGATAAAAGATACAACTACGCGCTTTTAGGGAATGAATATTCATTTTCTATGTACCAGATGCATGGTGAAATACGTTTCACCGGTAGTATACATATACGTGCCATTTCATGTCAAATCGATCATTTTTTTAAACCGACCATTTTTTATTTGGCTGAAATTTTTATACCTTATAGTACTCTACTGAATACCTTCTCGTGATTTTTTCAGATTTTTTAACTCAACGAAAAAAAGGTATGAATTTTAAAAAGAAAAAAAAGACGGCGTTCTTTTTTCAAATGGCTATAACTCTTCCAATGATTCACCAAATAAGACCCAATAAGTTTTTTAACGAACTTAACGAAAAAATTACAATACAAAATATTTGAATTCGATCTTCTACAAAATTTGTTGAGTTTTCGAAAAATAAAACAAATTTTTTCTCGATACTTCTAATTTTTGTCGTTTTTCTTTTTTTTTTTGACTGATAATCACCAGTCTTGAATTATGCAAACCAACGTTAAATTGTTCTAACATTCGCACAATATTCTACAAATGCTATCGTTATGTTTTCAGCAATTTTCAAAATCGTTTTCCAAAATTTATACCCGTATAAAAAAAAAAAAAAAAACAACGTAAATGTTCTTAGTATTCATGATTATTGATAATGAGGTTAATGTTTCTATCTTAAACATCTTTAGTGTTTAATGTATGCGTTTTACAGGGCCGATAGTTCGATCGGATTCTTAATCAACATGAAGATATATGCCAGCGCGCAAACATCAACGATTCGGTATCGGCAGATAAATAAGTACACGATCAAATTAATCTATGGACAAATTATCGGTCAACTGATAATCAGTATGGCGCTTGTAACCATGATTGTTTTCTTGCCCGACTCGGCGGATAGTTACCGGCCGACAGAAAGTCCGCAGTCTGCGGGGAGGTTTGCTCACAGAATTGAGTAAAATAAATATTACCGGCTCAGGCAATTGAAACACTCGAAAAACGATATTTCATATGCACCAACCTAATAATAACAGTTTCTACCTCGTGAATTCTTCTTATCAGGAACAACGGATATGACGTTAGCAATAATGATCATAAATCAATCCCCTTCAAGCTGCGAGTCATAAGCGCGCAATTAATTAAACAAACAAAAATTAATACTTATCATTTCAGTGGCTTAGCACAAGCTTAACAAAAACATTCAGGATCAATTACTGGTACGTGAACAATTTACAAATGCTGCGATATCTACCAAACATTGAATATGTAGACATGAGATTAAAAAAAATCCGTAAAAATATTCTCCTGCAATCTTAATTTCTGAATCGGATAGCGATGCTAGTTACAATGAAATATTATTCAAAATACGCGTAGACCAAACTTGAATTTACAAGCTATTAAAAGAAAGACTGCTTGTTGTAATCACCTAAATTAAGTAATTAGAATAATCACGACTAACACGTTCTATAATCGTCTTTGTGTTCATAATTGCGTGTATTTATACTTTAACTGAGCGTACTACACTACTTAAATTACACTTTACTCTATTAAGTATGTAGATGTGTAAGACTTGTTGCAATCACCCAAATGAAGTAATTAGAATAATCACGACTAACACGTTCTATAATCGTCTTTGTGTTCATAATTGCGTGTATTTATACTTTAACTGAGCGTATTACACTACTTAAATTACACTTTACTCTATTAAGTATGTAGATGTATATGGAACTATCCAAGGCGTGACATAATATAGCATAAAACGATTATGCAAGAGGCTCGTAGTAGTTAGCCAATCATTAAGCTAGTTAATTCTAAAAGTGACGGTACCGTACACTTTTACGAAGAACAAACAAGTGCTCGAACATGATTCAACGCAAACAAAATTGAAATTGAACTAGAAGAGGAAATTCACAAGGAAACTTTCACACTAATAAATAACGGAATCGAGTTAAAGAAAATCCAATAGCAGCCGCGCGAAACGTCACCGTCGCGATTTCAACATCTCTCTGGACCGCAGCAATTAATTTTCTTCTATCCGTGTCGTAAACGTCGAATCGATAAGGAATTGGCGTCTAGACGAGCGCGTAAGTTAGCTCCGCTTCTTTTCCCTCGTCGAACACGATATCGACTACCGTGGCACCAGGTGCTAGGAATTCCCTGACCTTCGCACGGAACGTGTTCCTCCGCGGATCACTCGAGACCCGCGCAACTTTCCCCAAGAATTCGCGAACATTCATTCGGTTCCAGCAGCAGTCGTCGATTCCACACGCGCGTGCCGGTTTCCGTATATCGAGGACGAAGATCGCATTCGCAGCCTCCGTCGTACATTACCCCGTTATCGAGGGAACCTTATCTCGCGACATTAACGCCGTGGTCCTTCTTACATATAGGACATATCCAACCGGTTCACGCTGAAATTTCCCATGGCGTACGGGCTACGAGAGTGCGTCCTCACCAAATGGAACCCTCTCCTCTTCCTGTCTACTTTATCGCCGGCCAAAACGGCCGGATACCGCGGCGGACAAAGACCCAACAGATAAGGGACGAATCCGCCGCATTGCCAGCCCCAGAAACCCACTTTCGTATTGATAGACTCCGCGAAATACATCACCGCTCTGTGGTGGTCGCACTCGAACAGGTTCCCCATCTCCCAGCAGCCGGGCTGGTTCACGCCACCGTTCATGTAGAAGTCCACGTGCCCGCTCATCTCTATCTTACCCTGAATGAACGCGTTCGTGTGAACCACGTCGACGAACTGGCCGTCGCCGGCGTCCAGCTTGTGATCGTCGTCAACGGTGACGAACAAGGGCATGGCAGGGTCTAGGCCGGTGATCCTCGGCATTTTGTAGGGTCGCAGAGCGTTGGCCGCGAACGCCGGCACGTGGGCACCGAGGCTGAATCCGATCGCGTGTATGTCTTCCGCCCCCGTATCCCTTATCCTCTGTACTAGCTGGGCCACGCAGTCGCCCACGTGTGGCACGTTTCGCACTACAATTGGATAACACGGTGCCGAGGCCAACCGATGCCAATCCACCGCGATCACGTTGTAGTCGTAGCTTTTCAAGTACTCGTTACGCACATCCACCAAATACGTCAGCCGCATGCTGGAGTCGTAGCCGTGGACGATGATCTTCGTAGGATTCGAGGGCATGAAATTGGTTTGCAGAAGATTCGAGCCGGTCTCGTCCACCAGGATCTGCTGGCTGTCGTTTGGATTCCTTTGCGTGTACAGGAAGAAGGTCACTTCCTTGTCGGGGCACGTTTGATTGGTGTTCACTAGACAGGGGCCCACGAAGTAGTCCTTGCCTGGGGAGCCGTGCGAGTCTAGCGTGTTGCTGATGACGAATGGCTGCGTCTGGGCCGCCGTACAGGACTGAATCGTTATTAGAATCGTCAGAAGGTAGACGCCGACCGCTTTCCGAACGACCATCATCGGTGGGTCCATCTTCGACGCTGGGACTGGTCCACTGGCCCACCAACACGAAGATCGAAGACTTCTGCCGTTTGGGCCGATTTCACTTGACGGTCGGAACGAAACTACCGAGCGGCTCGCATGCCGGTGAGCCGCGAGGGAAACTTCACGTTGAATCAGCACGTAGCGCCACGACGAGCTCGGAATCCCTAAAGAGGGGCATGCCACAGGCGGCTTGTTTGATTAGGGGGGTTTGACGTACGCCGTTTGATAAAGACTAGTCTGCCCCGACGGAGCTCGAACCTATGACGAATCGGAGCACGCTGCAGCGATACTAACCGCGAATTACCGCCCGCAACTTAACCGCGTCTGCCATCTCTCGCCAATCCTAATCGCGAAATCTGCCGCGCGTCGTAAACGGTATCAGGAGCGACGATCTTTTCACGATCGGGCGATTGTCTACGCGATCCTGTCCGAACCGCGACGGGAACACGACGCGAACAAATTGAAACTCTGTCGATACACGGTTTACTGCGGACGAGCTTGTTGGAAAGTGGAGCGCCCGCTGGAAATCGATGATGTCATCCGATACAGTTTTGTTTGACGCTGGTCACCGATTTTAACGATTAAATGCCGATTAATTGATTTTAATTGCTGTTTAAAGATCAATGTTAACTTCGATCAGGGGTGGTTTAGTATTCTTTCTTGTCGACGTATGGATCAAATAGAAATTTACCGAATCCTTCTTGGGATCCTCTTCAGAAATGAATCACTATAAAAGAGATTGTAGAGTAAAAATACAGAGTTGAGATAAACAAAGATGAGCGTAAAGATGATATATGTAAGCGAGAATAGTCACTGAGACAAGAAAACATCAAATTAAACATATAGATGGAACGTAAGCGAAGTTACTTTTCTTTACTATTCAGATTCACTTACGTTTCTGTATAATTGTTACGTTTGCTTTCGATTATCTTTACTTTAGAATTTACTTGGCTTTTGGTATCGTATCTTTTTTTGTATGATAGTGATACCGTAATTTTTGATTGTGTTGATTTCTCCGTTTCAATGAGCAAACATTTGATAATTCCTGAAGAGTATCCGAATAGTATTTTATTTAATATTTCATTTAGTACTCTACAGGATGCCAGAAAAATAGATCGAAACTTTTGCACAATAAAGAGATTCCATGTATCGTTACAAGATTCCTATGAATCTATTGTTGTTCTAATACTCCAATAAGGAAGAAGAATACTACAAATAAAACATTCGCTCTCAAAATTCATGTCCAAGTTTGAAATTTCGTTCGGTATTAATGTACTTCGTGGAACACATTTGTTCGACAATGTATTGTGCGTCCTAGTAAGTAATGGCTGGGACTACTTGTGGACTGTTTAGAATAATTGATTATTCTTAGTAACTGTTTCAGTCCTTAAGTACTACATATAATACTTTGTGAATAATACAATTTTTTATTTGTATACTCAACTGAAAGTTTTCTAGAAATATCTAAAATTATTATATTCTAATGCCTTTGGAATATTAAATAATTGACATTTCGATAATTAAATATTTTAATAAATTATATCCATTTATTTTTGTGTATTTATTTCTATGCAGGCACAAACAGTAGTTCTTTTCTTTTAGAATGAAATATAGAATTCTATAGTCGAATTGTAATTGTTTTTTTAAATGTGTAACTACATACATTTTTGTACATAAATTCTTCCTCCCCAAATAAATAATAAAAAATATTGATTTTGCTTGCACACGAAAGGATTAGTTCTATGTGTCTTTCCTATAAAAAGGATTACGGTTAATTTTATATCTCAAAACCATATAATTATATATTAAACAATTACATTTACTAATTAATGCTCACATACCAAGTAGAAGAGAAATTCTGAATTTCTTACTTAAAATTCATTACGTATTGTCTCACAGCATGGATTCTTTAACAGTTCAATATTATAAACAAGGGTATAGTATAAAAAAGCCATACAAATACACACATATTTCCTACTATAAATCACAATCGTTAGTCGAAACGTGATTCATGAATTACTTGGAACACATTACACGAGAATTTTCATCGCAGCAAACGCAGAATAGAAAAGTATACTTTGACTCTGTCTACCTTCGAACTTTTCATTACTCCCAAACAATGATCGCGTTACAAACTAATCATCGTTTCAACGAAAATGTCTTTCGTCTAATTAACCTTTGAACAAGAAACATGTGCACGTACAAAAAAATTCTTCAGCGCTCAAAATGTTAAGCAAATGCAACGACTCCTAGGCAATGTACAGTCGCAATTCAAGTAATTGCAAGCTGATACCTTTGATTTACATTGCGCAGAAGATAACACGTGCTTGATCGCGTGACTAACTTCAATGACATCGAACGCTGTTTTGAATAGTGCCCAAACTTCCTCTTGTGTCTGGAGTCTCGTGAACAGTAATTAGCGCGATTTTACAACCAACTATAAATTGCAATCCGACATTGTTTCATTTCAGGAGACGCAATTAGCGCGAGGGAAACAACCGGTTCGTGGATGCTACTAGGTTATATAAACAACTTTTACAATTGTTCTAATATTAAGCAAAATTGCATTACGAGAATACGTTCGACGGCTAACAACCTTAATATGTCTGTTAATCTTTTTCATGAATCAACTTTACCATCCAACAATTCAGTTATAGCAATCTTGCGTGAGCGAAATTTATCCGAACATAATGCATAATGATATGCTGTGCTTGTCTCTATTTTTCTGATTTTTTTTTTTTTTTGTTGGAGTAATTGATATCAAGGATATATTGCTCATAAATAAAAAATTATTATTATTAATATGTAAATTACTATCTTGGTATCTAAATAATTTCTTATTTTCTCGTGTGAATTGTGCGTGCATTATTTGGGACACATTCACAGCCCAATAGGCCAAATTTATATTATTTAATATCAAGTATAAATTAATTGATACGAGACTATGGAAAGCATAAATTACAAGTGTCTGTTAATTGCTTCTTTCTATATTCAGTGAATCTATTGAAATCAAATTTAATATCATATGTTATATGAGATGGTAAGTAAGGTATTTATATATGTTTCGTTTCAATAAATGTGTCCGACGTATTTTACGATAATTTCTATATTTATGGTTCGATTTCACTCATACTAGCAAGAAACGTTTGTTAGTCGCTAAACAATTGTTGTAGTGTGCTTTGCCTTTGGTAGGTGGCGCTAATTTTAATTACCAAATTGCGTTGATTGACACTCGCATTACGTAAATCGTTTTGATTTACATGATATACGAATGACATTGACATATTGACGTATTGTATTGTGTTATTGGATTCATAAAAATGATAACCCATTTCAATAAAGTGATTTAATAATTATATTAAAAATAGGAACAACATTTTCACCATAAAATCATTCTTTCATCAATATAGTGGATCAATAAATAAATATAGAAATATATAATTAACATCGTAAGTAAAAATAAAATATACAATTGGTGAAATTCGTTATATTTAGTAACTATTACAAAACACAATGCAATATTTTGTTACGTGTAATATTTGAAAGACAATCGTAAATATTAGATAACTAACAGATAGCATCGTTTCAATCTAACCTTAATCTCATCGATAAGACTCGGAGTCAACAGTATTTTCTTTCTTCGATGAAGTGGTCTAAAAAAACCACTTATTAAGAAAACGTTTAATAATGTGTCGGAACAATGTTCGCCGATATCAGTTGGATAATATATAAATTTACGAAGTTTAAATTTGACATTTAACTACAAATATAATATATTCAGTAAAACTTTTCAGTGAAAAGGTTTTGGTAGATCTCATGATCGAATCGTCTAAGAATACAGATGGGTAGAATGTTTAGAACGACATTATCAACTAATGAATTTACAGCAAGGAAAAGTTCGAATTATTATTTCATTGCCAATTTTATCCGTAGATGTGACACAGTAACAAATGAATTCAGTTCTATTGGCCCTATAATGACTATTAACCCATTAACTGTGAAGAGTGTACATAGGGTGTCCCAAAAATGTTGGAGTTCCTTGAAAGGGGTGGTGCGGAAGATGATTTGAAACAACTTTTTCTTTAGCGAAAATGTCCGAGGATTCGTTAAGGATATATTAACAGAAAACTCGCGCTCTGATTGGTCAGAGAAGAGGTCGGTTGAAGAGGTTAAACAATTGTTTCGGAAGAGGCCGGGAAAGTGGACGTTTACTTCCGCCGCGACGCTCCGCTAGAAGGTGAAATGTTCATACGTTTCAGTATGCAACTCGTTAACATAAAACTTTCGCGGTAAACGCACGATGAATATTGATCCGTAGCCGAAAACACTTTTACGTTCGTTTCAACGACAAGACTAGGTGTCCCAATTATGTGTCACCTGTCCGATTATCGCCATTATCGATCGTCAGCTAGGAAAACCGTCGTCCATACTAATGTAGGAGTCTAAACGAAAAATAAGGCACGGAGATTCGACAACTCACGATCCTCGGATTCACAGTCGATCGCTTTACCTACAAGACCAATCCCGTACCCTACGATTCGTGTTCTTCTTCGACTACTTATTCTTGGTTATGGGAGGCGCGGATACTACACTAATACGCTCTTAACAGTCTGTTAACACGTGGATCGCCACGTCACCTATATACAGGGTGTCCCAAAACTCGGGGAGGAGCCGGAAATGGGGGGTAGCTGAGACGATTCTGAACGACAATTTCCTTTGCAAAAATGTCGGATGAAGCTTCGTTAAAGAGATATTAAGAGAAAACCCCGACCAATCAGAGCGCGCGTAGACCGTTGGAGCGGTCGCGGTAGCGAAGGCTACGCGCTGAGCGGCAGCGTCAATGTCCTTCGATGCACGTCGAGGTCACTTGTTCGCGTACAAGCGCGGCCGCCTAGCGCGTAACCTTCGCTACCGCGGCCGCTCGAACGGTCTACGCGCGCTCTGATTGGTCGGGGTTTTCTCTTAATATCTCCTTAACGAAGCCTCATCCGACATTTTTGCAAAGGAAATTGTTGTTCAGAATAGTCTCAGCTACCCCCCCATTTCCGGCTCCTCCCCGACTTTTGGGACACCCTGTATATGGATGACAATGATTTTCACTGAAAATCTACGAAAATTAATTCTGACAGTTAAGTGTCACAGAAAATGAATTTAAATAAAATAC